AACTCTAGCATTTAGAGGCTGCCATCATGGTGAAGAGATGATAGGAATTGAGAGGAATAGCATGCGCATCTTTCGCATCAATTTGTCCTGACCCCACTGGTCGAGAGTGAGTGATTCATTTTCATTTTCTTTATGCTCTTGTACCCCGGTGAGGACCTAGATTGCTCGGTCTCTATTCTGATGTCTTGAGTTGGATGCATGAGTTGACTGTTTTGAGTAAGTGGTTGAATCAAGTCTAGGTTGGCCAGTGAACAGAAGGGAGACTCTTCCTGTACTCGATTTGCTGCACTCGAATGTCCTTTGTGGTGGTTGTCCAGGTTGTTATTGAGGTTGTGCATGTATTGATGTTTGAAAATCAGTGCGATTCACGTGTTCTGTGCCTGTATGACTTGTCCCCAATGTTGGTTGATTGTGATATGTAAGCTTACCTAGTGTCTGACTTGGTTTGCTTGGGGACAAGCAAACGGTTAAGTGTGGGGGAGTTTGATAGACCGTTAGTTACACATGTTTTTACCCCTGCTCTTACTCCGTTTGAGGTGTTGATTCTCGTGTTTTAGGCCTATTTTATGCTAGGTTGTGTTCCTTTGTCACATTTCAGGTCCTAGCACATAAAGTGAAGCATAGGCGCAAGTTTCAAGTCAATCAGAGATCAATTGGCGATTCGGGAGAAGAAACTCTGGCATGACCTGAAGAAGAATGGATTTCTACCTCACTTAATGGACAAAGAATCGTGCAAGTTTGACATGGAAAGAAAGAGGACGAGACTACGAGCGTCTGGGATCAAACGGCGACTGATTTGGAGTCCGGACGAGGGAGAAACGAAGCATTGAATATAGGAGAACAGGTTCGGAAGTAAAAACACGGGCAGGAGGCCTTCAAAACACGGCCGTGTTCTGTGACCGTGCTTTTACTGCCGAGAGCAAATCCGAGTTTGGCAGACATGAGCTGATTACACGGGCGGGGCCGAGACAAAGCACGGGCGTGTTTTCCCAAAGCACGGCCGTGTTCTCCCAAAAGCACGGCCGTGTTTTCACCAACATGTGGCCGTGTAATTAACCCTAGCCAAAGCACGGGCGGGCTGAGGCAAAGCACGGCCGTGCCCTCGACAGTGTTTTGGCCAATGATGCCCTTTTAGGCAGATTTCAGCCAAATTGAGAGGGGATTCGAGTTTTAGAGAGATAGAACGATTCCTAGAGAGAGAAAGCGACGAACAAGAGTCTCCAAGTGCCCTAGATCGATCTTCAACACCATTGGAGCTTGGTTTGAGCTTGGAGAAGTGCCGATTCAACGTCCAGGAGCAGAAATCCATCTTCACAGTATGATTTCCGCGTCTGATTCTGCTTTTGCTTCTCTCTCCATGGAGTAGTTCTCCCATTCATCTGGGTGTGGGAAACCCTAGTTCTGTATGTTGAGATTGATTGTATGAACCCAAGTACTGATTCTGTGATTGATTATATTCGATTGAGGTTTTATGATTGAATGACTTGAATCCTGATCAAATTCCTGTTGTTTCTGCTTTAACCTAGAATGAGAATATCTGCCTAGGTTAATAGAGTATCCTTGATTGAAGGTAGGGAGTTGGTGACTTTAGTCGAGGAGCCAACTCACTATTCTGTACCGGATTTACTCCGGTAGTGGAGGTTTTGTTCTTAGGGCCTCAATCTGTCGACTCCGGTGGAGGTTAGTCGCCCGCTAGAGAGTCAGATTGAGAGGGTCTGAAGACCTTTAGTCGAGACTTCAGACTGGTTAAGAACCTTCCGCAGTATAATCTTCATAGAAACTGAACTTGGTAATTACAATCCGGCTTAACTGCAGACTAGGGGGAACCATATCCGGGTGACCTCTTTAACCTGAATACAACCAGTTTACTTGCTTTGTTTGTTTGGTAGTTAGACTTGCACTCCAGTTTTATTGCTAGATAACAAGAACTCATTAAGTAGTCAGCAAATCTAGGACCCGGGTTGACATTGAAACCTAAACCCGCTATACTACGCTTTAGGAAGTGGTTACACTTGGCCATTTTCTAGGGTGACAGTAGAAGTGAGTCACTGAGCCATCAGAAAGCTACACTGCTCAATTGCTGGACTATGGAAGTGAGTTGAAGGAGAGGCATGCTTCGAGGGCTGAGTATGAGCGAAAAAGGATGGAATTCCAAGAAAAAAAATCGAAGCGCGACGAAGAAAGGTGGAATCTTGAGAAAAGGGAGAGGGAACAAAAATGGGAAGTTGAAAAAAGAGAGAGGGAAGCGGCACTATTTCGGAACAACGTTGATCTTCTTGAAAGGGATTTGTCAAAGTTGACACCAAGAAAGAGGCAGTATTACAAAACTCAGCAAAACATTGTTCTAGGGTATGATCAAGATGATCCCAACTCTGTTCCCAACTACTCATCCAACGCAAATCAGACCGGAGGAGGAGATGAGAGTGGAGGAGGAGGTTATGGGAATTACTATTCTCTGCTAGGCGATTATTGACATGTTATGTGTTCCATCTTTATCATTTCAAGTGTTGTGTGTTATCTTTAAGCTTTATCATTATCAAGTGTTGTGTGTAACCAATCAGTTGTATCATTTGAACTATTATGTGAACTCTTTCAGCTTTATCATTTTCAAGTGTTGTTAGGGATGGCAATGGGTAGGGTAGGGTGCGGGTTTACCCTATACCAACTCCTAACCCGTCGGGTAGAGCCTTCTAAAATACCCGACCAAATAATCACCGGGTATGAAAATTATATAACCATACCCTACCCACCGGGTAACCACGGGTATTCGGGTAACCATGGGTACGAATCCTAAACTATGAACTTATACACATATGCACATACATACTGTTGTCCATTAAAAATTCTCAATACTTGTAACTGTTCTAACTTCAACAATCCACACAAATAAAAACAGCAAACACATAATAATTGTTCTTGCTTCTACAATCCACACAAACATAATAATCGTCTCCATCTTCATCATCAATAATGGTAGCTAAACTCAATTTCTCAAACTAAACTAAATTTCTCAAGGGAAATGACCCTTTGGTTAGCGGGCGGGTATAACGGGGCGGGTATTATCGATTACCATACCCATACCCTACCCTTTATTTTGAAACCGGGTATTACCCGTACCCGCCCCTTAACCCGTCAAAGCGGGTAATTACCCTCGTTGACCGGTTACGGTCGGGTAGGGTACCCATGGTTACGGGTTGGATTGACATCCCTAAGTGTTGTGTGTAAACTCTAATTAGGTCAATCATTTTTTGCAAAAAAAAAAAAAAAATGGTCTCAGAATTTAAAAAAATTATATCGAAAAAATTGTATTTGAAAATAATGACGAACTATACAAATATTAATATGAACAAATTATATTAATGCTTCCATAAATACATTTTTAAGTAAATGAAAAACTGAAAAAAGGAAGATCCTCATATTTGGAGAATGTAGCATTGGAACAAAAGAGAAGAACGGTCTGGTCCAGACCACGCCTGTGCGGTCTGGTGCGGTCTGGTTCGGTCTGGTCTGGTCTAGATAGACCACACTCAACGAAAAATGAATAATTTGTTTAGTTAACCACACAAAAAATTGAACCAATAACCAAGAAAAATAATTGTTATTTGCCTTAAAACATTAATCCTAACATGCATGAATAATTTTGATTCTCTAAATCTTAGTACATAACAAAGATACAAAGTAAAAGCATCCCAGCTTGCACCATAATGTCATAAACATTAACATAATGTGGTTGTGAATGAAGGAGGGAAGAGATTCACAAAATTAAGGTTGAGACTTGGGTGGCGTTGTGGGAGTTTGGAGAGTGGTCGAATGGGCTGTTAACACGTATTGACAAGTCAGTTGGGTCTACGGTTTGGTCCGGTAAACCGCGGTCTAGACCAGACCAGACCAAGAGATCAAATCATAAAATAATACAGACCATGGACCAGACCAGACCATACTTCACGGTCTTACGGTCCGGACCAAACTGTGCGGTACGGTTTGGACCACGGTTTTTCTAACGGTCTGGTCTATTTTCCCAGCCCTAATGTTGGTGCTTCCAGGCATATATTGCTTGTCTGTTTCTTTTGTTTATATATATGAGATTTCTACAGCAGATTGCATGCTTTGTATTTCTTTTTTTTTTGTCATTTTAATGTGCAAAACTATTTATCAGGGAAAACTGGTCGACCATTCCATCGACTTGATTTGGACGTTGCTGGTTTTTGTTTTCTCAGCCAGAGATTTATTGCCTTTGGTGTCACTGTGATTTTTGGTCTAAGGGCAATCTAGATTGGATATTTCTTATGAAATCTCTTGGTGGCTTTCATTTTTACCATCGATAATTGGAGCTAACTATGTAAACATTCTTTTGGTTTTTTCATGTTCACTCTAGGGGCATCACATGACAATAGTGACTATATTTAAGGCTAATGACTTGGTTTGGATTGTCCATTATAGTGTTTATGTTTTACTGTTTCTTTTGTAATGCAATGGGATAATGACTTTCCATCATATTATTATGGTGTTGTTAACCTACCTTCGGCCATCGCCACATACATATTAACGATATTAATGAGTAATATCATTTAGAATCAATTTTCGAGACTACCTCCGACACGAGGCCGGGTAATAAGCTAGTTTTTTTTTTTACTTTGAGAAAAAAAAATCCGGCTTAACAGATCTCTTCAAGTAACGTCGTAACTCGTAACATTCAGGTAATCTTGATTTGACCGGAGTGGTGGCGGAATTCGCGTGCGTTTACTCACAGGATCCCGGCGGGTCAACTTTGTCTCCCTAATATCAATATATGTCTGTCCGTCTGTCTGTCCATTTTTACCAAATCCTAGTATATCATTAATGTATTATTATTATAATTAATTACAATAACCGATAATTCTTCAATCTTCATGACACGCACCGCTAATCCGCCGTTTCGACCAGTCAAGTAAAATAAATTAGAAAAAGGGAATCGGGAGGACGAACCGCAATTGACCACGTCTCCAACCTCACCTGGATCGGACAACTTCAGTCCTCCGCCGTCCTCTCCCCCTCTACTTCGCTCTTCGCCTACTCACTTTACACTTTACAGAGAGCTCTCTCTCTCTCTCTCTCTCTTCAGTATACAGTCTGTAGTCTGTAGTCTGTAGTCTGTAATCACCTTCCTCCAAAACCTCAGCCAGCGTTGCTCAATCCCACCCCGACATTAATTTTTTAATAAAGTTTCCACCTTTTCTTTGTTTGTTTTTAAATCTAATCTCTCTTTTTGAGGCCTCCCTTCAGATTGGATTGGTGCTATTCATTTGATGCTGTGCTGTAGCTCTTCTTTCCCATTCCCCAAACTCTGCACATTCTCCTCCCCACCCTTTTTCTCACCACGCTCGCGAAATCATTCCTCCCTTGCCTTCTCCTTTCAAAATTGGTCATCATTGATTCAGCTAGCAATTCCCATCTGCAACCCATGAGCCTCCCCCTCACTGTAAGTTGCTCCCACTTCTCCCTTCTTTGATTTCAACAAGTTCTGGGTCTTTGCGTTGCTGTTGATCCTGATGGATAGCTAAAGGTGCTAGCTTTTTGCTCCCCTGAATCTTGTGTGTTCATTGCAGGGTTCTTGAGATCTGAATTAAAAAGTTTGGAAGTTAACGTTGGCTGGACATTTGGCAATGCTGAAGCAGAATCGGACCGCGGCGGCAATGGATGAATTGCTGCCTGGGAAAATCAGGAAACGGGGGTGTTCCTCGTCGGCGTCGTCGTCATCCTCCGTCATTCAGAACTACCGGTTCAAGAGGGCGATTCTGGTGGGGAAGAGGACTGGATCCACTACTCCGGTCCCCATGTGGAAGCTGATGGGTTCCACTCGCACTCCCTCGTCGGCGTCGCGCCGCCTGGGCTCCCCCAATTACGCCGCTTCCCTGCACGGCGGCGGAGGGAGTAAAGGAATTAAGCAGCAGCAGCAGCAGGGTCCGGTGTCGGCAAGGAAATTGGCGGCCACACTCTGGGAGATGAATGAGGTCCCGTCGCCGAGGAGGCCGGAGACGGTCGGCTCGGTTGAGAGGAGACTAAGGAAGGAGGGAAAGGCTAGGGAGAGGACGGTGGCGGCGGCGGCTAGGTCCGTCCATTCTGGTTCTCTGCCTCCCCATTTGTCTGATCCTTCCCACAGCCCTGTTTCTGAGGTCAGCTTCACCCCTTTGTTGATTGTTTACTTCGTGAATGTGTGCTATGCTATTTGATCCTGATCTGCAGACAAGGGATTTCAAGGTTTTAAATTAGATACAAGTTTGTCTGTCTTGACAATTGGAGACGGATGGTATCTTGTGTCCATGCGTGCTTGGCTGGCTGACTGCACCTTAATCAGCTTGGCTGTGTTTGATGTATCCCTTTTGATTGGTTTTCTCTAGGTTTGTTTAGATGGTAGGACTGACTAGATAATTCTCAACATTCCCCTTGATGATGAGACATTTTGTCCATGATATGCAACTTTGTGCTGCCAAACTTAGTTTGAGAGAATATTCATGCTGTATACATGATTTTGACTTAAAATCAACATTTGGGGTCATGCCTACTTGTTATTGAGGAATCAGTGAAGAGAGTTAACCATGTTGGTTGAATTGCTTGTATTCCAGAGGGGTGATCGCTCTGGGACTGGAAGCCGCCACAGAAGAGCATCCTCGATTTCACAGAAGCTTAGGCTTATGGAACACCAGAGTGTTGCTCCGTTTGACTCTGTTAGCAATGCCAGCTTCATGGAGGTACAGTGATTCAACTTATGATCTTATTGCTTCCATATTCAGTTTCTATATTCCCTTTTTACGCAATGAGTTTCCTGTTTCAGGTTGAGTCTAGGTCCCGTGTCCAAACGCCCACTGGATCTACTACCACTAATGTGGTAACCAAGACCCGTTTAAAGGACATCAGCAATGCATTGACCACTTCAAAGGAACTTCTTAAAATCATTAACCGTGTATGGGGAACCGAACAACGTCCTTCATCCAGCATGTCTCTGATATCAGCATTGCACGCTGAGCTCGAGAGGGCTCGGTTACAGGTTAACCAGTTCATCCACGAACACCGCGCTGACCAGAATGAGATCAATTTCCTGATGAAGTGCTTCGCCGAAGAAAAGGCAGCATGGAAGAACAAGGAGCAGAAACTAGTCGAGGCCGCAATCGAGTCCGTTGCTGGAGAGCTCGAGGTGGAGAAGAAGCTTAGGAGGAGGCTCGAGAGCTTGAACAAGAAGCTGGGGAAAGAACTCGCAGACACAAAGGCTTCATTAGCAGATGCTGTGAAGGAGCTCGAACATGAGAAGAGAGCGAGAGCCGTCATTGAGCATGTTTGCGATGAACTGGCCAATGACATTGGGGCAGATCATAAAGCTGAAGCTGAAGAGATGAAGAGAGAATCTACAAAGCTGTATGAAGAAGTGGAAAAGGAGAGGGAGATGATGCAGTTGGCTGATGTTTTGCGAGAGGAGAGAGTGCAGATGAAGCTCTCCGAAGCTAAGCATCAGCTCGAGGAGAAGAATGCTGCAGTAGATAAACTGAGGGGTCAACTTGAAGTCTTCCTAGGGGGAGCCAAAACAGCTGCAGCGCTCAAGGAGAAAGGACGGGCTTATCTGAGTAGAGCTCACTTTGCATCATATGGTGATGAAGTGGACGGCGAAGGAGAGGTAGAAAACGGGGAAGTGTGTGAGGATTTAGACACAGGCGAGAGCGATTTGCATTCCATAGAGTTGGGGATGGACATGTCCAAGAGGTCCTATAACTTCCCCTACCCTTCTGGAACTCCTCGTGATCCTAGAAGGGTGAAAAATGAAGAAGAAGAAATCAAGTACAGGAAGTCTATTCCAGGGAGAGTATCTAGGAGTAGTAGTTCTCTACAACGGAGTGTTTCAGATGTTGCTGAATGGAATGGGAAGAACGAGAGGGACGGTTTAGAGCGGGGCAGGTTCAGTGAATTCTTGAGGTCGCCACATGGGAATGGTTATGGGGAAGATGTTTATGGATATCAATCGATGAAGGGTCGTCGAGACTTGCTATTATGTGGTTCTGGGGTTGAAACTGCCCGAAGCTATGGTAGTCCCACACGGCATTTAGTGCAGCATCAGGCAAGGCTATCAGGTCAAGATCGACCTCCAACTGTAACAGGGATCATATCAAAATCGAGGCTTTCAGAAACCAGGACTGAAGCTCAGAGCAGTGGTAGGAAATCCAGAAGGTGAGGAAATTTGACTGCTGGCACATTCCATGGAGCTGGGTTAATGAGAGTTTGCAGTAAATCACTGCGCAGGTTTTGCTTGCATTAACCTATTTGGAAACCAACAGGAGACTGGTGGTGGTGTTGTTTGTAGAGAAATGGTGGCAGAGAAGTATGTGGGAATTGGTGGGAGAATTTAAGAGTTCCTGATTTTTGTACAAATGCAGCTCTCTAACTTAGCTCCTTCATTATGAAGCTTTATCAGAGTATTATAAATTGTGTCTATCTTCTGCTTCTGGTGTGGTTGTTCATGTTTTAAGTGAAGGAAAAAAATGGTTAAAAGAGAGGTATTTTATAATACCTCATTTGGTTGTTCACTTCCCTTCTTCTTTCCTTCTCTCTTCTTCTCTCTCTCTACCTACCATCGAACCCGGGACCAGAAGGCTGTGTTTATAACACACAACCAACAGACCACAGAGATGGCCGGTGCCCAAAGCATTCCAACTACCATAATAAATCGTAGGCGAATGTTGTTGTCACTTCTCACTGAGCTAGCACACTCATATGTCTTTTCCTATCCCCATCCCATGACGTCTCTAATGGGAGAGTATCCTTACCAGCCAAGTGCCCAACTGATCAAATCAATCAACTAATCCAAGAATCAATTGGGTATGACCTGTATTGTTAAATCCCTATCGAATTCTCGGTTGGACTTAGGGGTCGTTTGGAGAACAGGATTCAGGACTATGGATGTCAATCCAACCTGTAACCATGGGTATCCTACTCGACCATAACCGGTCAACGAGGGCAATTACCCGTTTTGACGGATTAAGGGGCGGGTACGGATAATACCCGGTTTCAAAATAAAGGGTAGGGTGCGGGTATGGTAATCGATAATACCCGCCCCGTTATACCCGCCCCGCTAAGCAAAGGGTCAATTTCTCTTGAGAAATTTAGTTTAGCTTGAGAAATTGAGTTTAACTACCATTATTGATGAAGAAGATGTAGACGATTATTATGTTTGTGTGGATTGTAGAAGCAAGAACAATTATTATGTGTTTGCTGTTTTTATTTGTGTGGATTGTTGAAGTTAGAACAGTTACAAGTATTGAGAATTTTTAATGGACAATAGTATGTATGTGCATATATGTGTATAAGTTCATAGTTTAGGATTCGTACCCATGGTTACTCGAATACACGTGGTTACCCGGTGGGTAGGGTATGGTTATATAATTTTCATACCCGGTGGTTATTTGGTCGGGTATTTTAGAAGGCTCTACCCGGCGGGTTAGGAGTTGGTATAGCGTAAACCCGCACCCGACCCTACCCATTGCCATCCCTATTCAGGACGTGGATTTACTAAATCCGTAGATTTTATAGAAAGTTATGTTTTTTGTTGCTTTTTGTATTGTGGATTCTAGCTTTAGAGATTTCAAATCTCTAAAATCTGCAGATATCAAATCTCTCATAATCAGAGAGATTCTATATCTTGATTCGTGAGATTTTTTTTCTCCTAGCTTTTCTCTTCTTTTTATTTATCACCTGAAATATATTTATCAACAAAGTTTTTAATATTTCTTGAACCACTCTAATTTTTTTATTAAGGATAAACATGTTATTTAATATAATATTAAATTTTTTTATTTTTATTGAATGTTAACAATCACAGTTACCAAACAATAAACAATTTCAAATATGTTTTCAACAATCCAAAGAGTTAGAATCTTTCGATTGTTGACAATCGGTAGATTTAAACTCATATTCTCCAAACGACCCCTTAATTTGGGCTTCCAAACGGCCTCCAGAAACTAGAAAGTCTCCCGGTCTGATCACTAAAGAGGGAGAAGAAGAGAGGAAGATAAACGACATATGAGAAATGGTGGGTGGGTCATGGAGGTTAGGTAGATTTATTTTGTGAAATTAAGTTTTTAATAGAAACAGATAAATTTAATTTCAGTCATTAAATCTTTAATTACTATCTTATTTGTATATATATTTAGAAAACGTCTAAAACAGCTCAACTCGGTCGGGCCCCAATCAGACCATTAAACCTCAAATCCCTTCCCCAATCAGACCATTAAACCTCAAACCCTTTGATTGACCGGCTCAAAGATTTAAATAGGTTTGACAACCTTGAATATGACAATAGGGACGTACTAGTCGGAGAGATGGCAGGTATTTTAGTGTTACAACTTACAAATATCCATATGGAGCTCTAAATTGAGTTATTGACAAACAATGAAAAGCGAAGTGACTGAACTGGGAAAAGGGAAGTTTCTACATATTTACTGAGAAATGCAAGTTTCTGGAGTTGCTACATGCCTACATCTAAGCTGAACATACATAAATAGGGCAAATGCAGCTCCCGCTAGCAACTATCTACATTTGGACTCTACATATAATATAATAGTGCCAAAAGGTCACCCTGATCACCATCAACTACATATCTACGTACATCTTCTGTACCAAAAAATATACACAAACCAGCAGTTCAACTACACCTGCTGCTGCTGCTGTTAGCAAGACGGCTGATCAGGGGAGTCCAGGAACAAAATACCTTCCAGAGATTACCAGAGTAACTATTAAAATGGTGTTACTTGCCACACCGAGTTACCCTTGTGTGCCTGTTCGGACTTCAACTTCCATGGCTGCTGCCTGCCCGGGCATCAACGTTGTTCTCGGTCTGGTTTATCCTCATGAGTTTGCTCTTTGCTCCATCGATTTCCTTAAGGTCTGTGCCATTGTACAGACAATTGGTGAGTTCAATAGCCAGGGATTATGCAATGTGTGAGAGAGAGAAAATGAATTGTGTTGCTTATTCATTACCAATGTCAGCTGATAGTAGACACTCTCCTTCATGATCAGGTCCAGACAAGATGGTTCCCGATGGCGAGACAATGAAGCTACCTCCTGCACACACAATTTCGTTGCTATCCCCATCTTGATCTGCTGCTAGTGGATAATCCTTCCTTCGACAGAATTGGTTAGCCGAGAGAACAAAGCAGCTGCCTTCTACTGCAATATGGACTGCTGCAGACCTCCACATCTCCCCGGGATCCGCATTTGGGGCACAATATATCTCAATCCCTGCAGCAGATCCTCAGAATAAGGAAAACTTGGCAACCATTGGCGAAATGCAGTGCTCGGAAGCCGGCAGATGTACCTTTGGCATAGAGCTCATTTCTTAGGAGCGGGAAGATGTTGTCCCAACAGATTAGGCCACCAACATTTCCTACGATGGTCTGGTACAGTGGGAGTGAAGAATTGCATTGGCCTTCAGAACTCCATACTGCAGTTTCTGATGGCGATGGAAACATCTTCCTTTGTTGCCCTAGAATTCGGCCAGCTGGATCGAAGAACAACATAGTACTGTACAGGACCTTCCCTGACCTCTCCACTACTCCCATTACTAAGTACACTCTATGTTTGGCAGCAATCTTCCCCAGACTCTCAAACTCTGGACCTAAGAAGTTCAATAAATTCCCAATTCAGCCAATTATTTCAAGCCGGACGAGTTAAGTGACTTCGATTGAACTAAGAGGAACTAACCAGGAACTTCAATGGCTGACGACCGGTATTTGAGCATCAATTCATCATCTTTTGCCCCAGAATCAACGGGAGGCATGCACCTTGGATAGCCACCAACAAATGCTTCAGGGAAGACGATCAAATGTGAGCCATATCCAGCAGCTATGGCGATCAGCCGCTCGGCTTTATCTGATCAATGAACCAAATTGATCATGAAATGTACACTTAAGGAACACAATGACCTTTCTTGATTGAAGAAAAAATGAAAAACCCATCAAATTTGCGCGGGAAAGGAAAAAATTGAAGCTGTGGAGCTCACAATCGGAATACCTAAAGTTCCAGGGGTGTCGAAAAACAAAGAAGCGGCTTGAATCACGGTCGCCCTAATCGACCTTTTCTGGATCAGCAACCGGGCTTCGGCCTGCAGGATGGGCATGCAAATGGGTTCCGCCGGGTCAGAGGCTTCTGGAGCGGAGCGCTTGTCGGGTTTGGGTGTGGGTCCGGTGGGGAGGAGGTCGGGTCGGACCCGGTGGATGAGCCAGTGGACGGTGTCGGCGAGGGAGCGGAGATGGAGTTCGTTTTTGAGCTGGACGAGGAGTGGGTACCAGGAGGTGGAAACGGAGAATTTCTTGCGCGGGGGAAGGTGGGAGGCGGTAGGGCGGCCGCGACGGCGGGAGGCTGTAGCTGGCGGGGATGACCCGTTGGTTTCTCCGGCCTCGATTCCGGCGGCCGTCGTTTTGGCTGTACTCTTTTGTTTTGTGGGTGTAGGAACTGCGAGGACATGCAGGTCCTCCATTTTCCCTCGGTTCCCGTTGGGCTTTCAACTTTCGAGGATCTGAGTTTTGAAAACCAACTTGGTGTAAAAGCCTAAAAGGGCAATGGTCGCTAGCACTTTTGCTTTAGAAACTTAAATTAATATATATATCTCTGCCTCAATATTAACATTAAATCCAAAAATTGGTTGCAAGCGTTTTTTATATAATATTTATATGAAAACAAATATATTTGGGTGGTGGTAGGATTAGAGTGCTAACTCATTTTTTAACACCATACTACACTAATCTCAAGTTTCTCAACCAATAAATTTTTTCCCATTAGGCTGACTTTCATTAATAGTTCACGGCAATCAATGAAGATTTTTGAACTTGGGGGCACGCTCGTCATTTTTGAAATTTAATTCAAACTTCTAGTATCTTCTTTTTCGAGGGTTACTATTTGCCGCCCGTCTCTTTACTATTTGCCGCCCGTAAATTAAACTAAAATGACATTTTTACCCTTTGTTCATTTTTTATAAAATAAACCCCGCCACTCCTGCTGTAACCTGCGCTAGTCCACCACCGCCGCCAAATCGCCGGCGTCGCCACCACCGTCAGATCACCACTGCGGCCAGAACCAAATCATCACAGCCGGCGTCGGACGCAGGAGGACCCCGTCCGACGCCGGCGAGCGGACCGTGCATTTATAAAAAAATAAAATAAAATTATAAAAAAATATTGTACAAACTAATTCATACTTATTTTATAATTATGTAAATAGAACTAAAATAAATAAATTCAGTATAATACCAATTAAATAATTATAGTATGTTAAATAATTACAAATTATCTGAAGTAGTGTATAAATTATGTTTTTAATTGTATTTGTTTCATATTTAATAAGATCATCGTACCTAAATTATGTTTTATAAAACTTCCAAGGAATCGAGGCACGAAGAGGACTCTTTGCGGCTTGGGAAAGGTCGGGCAAAAACATCTTTTAGCAATTACTAGAGTCACCGACATGAAAAAATATTGAAACTTTCATCGATCTCATAAAATGTGGATACAAATGTGTTGAAATCGATTGTTTATCAATCGATTATTTCAACTGTGGTCAAACCCTAATTAAGTCAAATCCTAATTCCCTCAAACAACTGTGGTCAAAATAATATATAATTTAGCCAAACCCTAATTCGGGTCAAACCCTAATTAAGTCAAACCCTAATTCCCTCAAACAACTGTGGTGAAAATAATATATAATTTAGTCAAACCCTAATTAAGTCAAACCCTAATTCCCTCAAACAACTGTGGTCAAAATAATATATAATTTAATCAAACCCTAATTCGGGTCAAACCCTAATTATGTCAAACCTTAATTCGGGACAAACCTCAATTAAATCAAACCTTAATTCGGGTCAAACCCTATAGAAGTCAAACCCTAATTAAGTCAAACCTAATTCCCTCAATCAACTACCATAAGTGGATTGAGTTGTTAACTTATTTGGATTGGGATGTTAATATATTAATAAATGATAATCATTAGATGTATTATATAATCAAAATAATATATTGTTAATTACGGAAATTTTCTTCCGAAAACTTATTACTCAATTTCCTCTTTCAAAAACTTGCCTTAAAAAATTCTCTTCATTTTGCTTAATTATCATACTTATAATTATTTAAATCCTAATTATGGTATTTTACACTTATTTAATTACTAAATAAATAAATTATAATTCAAACACGATCTTTGAAAAAAAAAACAGTAACCGCCGGGTCTCAGGACCGGTCCGCCGATGGATTTCAGACCCCGTCCGCGTCCGGCATTCGGACCCCGTCCGCGTCCGGCATTCGGACCCCGTCCGCTACCGGCGGTCGTACCCCGTTCGCGTCCGGCAGTCGGACCCGTCCGCGTCCGGCGATTGGACCCCTTCCTCTACGTCGGCGACGACAGCACCCGTGGCGAGCTCCTTCCTCTTCAACGTCCGCGATTTTGTGAGGGGAGGTTGTGGAGGGGTCGGCGGACCAGGTCGGAGGAATGGAGGTGTTGGTGGTGGGAGCAGTGGAAGGGTCGGCGGTGGGAGCAGCGGTTGCCGCCGGCGGCAGTTTGTGGGAGGAGGTTGTGAGAGATGAGTTTGATAGGATTTAGGGTTAGTTAGAAGGAGGGGCAAATTCGTCATATTTTTTGTAACTACGGGCGGCAAATAGTAAAACTACGGGCGGTAAATAGCGATTCATTTCTTTTTCACCTGGCCAATCTCTAAATACTCGAATCTAGGGGAATTTTGTAGGAATTATGAGTAGCGGTCAACGAGGAGCGGATATCGCAGAGGCTTCAATGAGTAGTAGGCGGCTGACTAGTAGCGGATATCAAAGAGGCATCAATGAGTAGTAGCAGTGATATGTTGTTGGAGATTCGAGCTGCGGCTGTCGAGAATGGAGTTGCGTCGTCGTTTGATTACAGGTATGTAGACCATAAGTTCATAAACCGCACCAGGAACCTGAATATGTAGACCACAAGTTCCATAAATCGCACAAGAAACATCTCAACGCATGCTAGACTCTCCCCTAGTATCACAAAACTTACCAGAACCGGTATGAGCCAGACCAAAAATGCCATATACCATAGCCAGTGATAGATTTAGGGGTGGGCCACCAGGGGCCACGACCACCCTCCTTTGGTCATGAGCTAGTATAGTACGTATGAATTTTTCGATACTAGATATTCGGCGCAGTACTATTTAAAAGTCGGTCCAATGTTATTTAATAATAAGATTTTGTATAACTAGAAAAATGGTCCACATAAATAATTCCAAATCACTACTCTAAATTTAGTCTAAAAATTCTAGCCCCAATAAATCAATTGAAAAAATAAAATATACAATAAAACCTAAAAGTATAAAGTTCCATTGAAAAATGTCTATTTTTTATCCAAACCTTTTTCAGGTTTTTTTTATATTATCCAGACCTATTAAAATTCTATTTATTAGCCAAATCTTTCATAATGCATCAAAATATTAGCCATTTTTACATTATCGTTGATAATTTTGTAACTCATTTCTTATTTAAAATAATGAAATTTTGAAATGCTGACCTTTATGTGTCTCTTCCAAGTCAGTATCATATTGCATAATCAATATTACTAACAAAATTGCTAACTGAAAGTTAACATTTAGTTAATTCTTAGTATTTCGATAGGTTTGGATAATATAAAAGAATATGAAAAAGGTTTGGATAAAAAATAGACATTACCCAAATAACAATAACCTCTAAACTAAACTTCACCCTTCTGTATCAAACTTCCAAAAATTCCCCCCCCCCCAAAAAAAAATTAAGAACGAGGAGACGAACGGACCCGAAATGGATTCCTCAGCTAGTTTGTCGGGCACTGGTTTTCTTTTCACTCTTCTGATGAAGAAAATATTTACAAACTTGTTGAGTCATCATTAGATTGCTTCAGTCAAGTTGTTCACTAGATCATAAAAGGGGTAAATGCCACATTTGGTCATTGAGATTACTATATCATGTCATATTTAGTCACTATAAAAAATTAATATAAAATTTGGTCACTCGAATTACTGAAACATGTCACATTTAGTCACTCTCATGTTAGTTTCCGTCCAACTCCATATGGAGTTGGACGGAAACTAACGTGAGAGTGACTAAATGTGACATGTTTCAGTAATTCGAGTGACATTCATAAAAAAAATCGAGTGACCGGAGTTGGACGAGGCTAACGGGAGAGTGACTAAATGTGACATGTTTTAGTAATTCGAGTGACCAAAATTGATATTAATGTTTTCTAGTGACTAAACATAACACGATTTAGTAATCCCAATGACCAAATCTGACATTTACCCATCATAAAAGCTCTTTGTGGTCTTTTGATGAAGAAAATATTTACGAACTTGATCAATAGTTGTTTTTTTCGAGACTTTGAAGGCTATTAGATGCATTCTTTGAAGAATTAGGTATGGTTCATAGTCAGGAATATGAAGTGTCTTCACTTACAAAATTACTAGAGAAGTTGGTGGAAACATGTATGTACACACAATACAAATTGATTTTTCGGTTTTTTCGTCTAGTGTTGACATAGTCCGTTTCAACGGCGACTACGGAGAGAACATTTTCAACAATGAAACATGTGGCACCTGATCTGTGCAACAAAATGAGCGATGAATTTCTCGCCGATTGCTTAACTATTTCATTTTATAGAGAGTATGTTATTAGTATGGATGAAGACTCCATTATTAATGAATTTGCTAAACTAAAAGATCATCATGTACAATTGACATTGTAATGAAAACTATAGTTATCATATATTTTGTTTACAATATCTTATTTTCTATTCAAATGTAGCCCAGTGCTCTACTATCTCCTGGATCCATCGCTGACCACACCACAACTATCATTCAACATTTCTGACACACCAGAAACTAATTGTGACAGTGATCGTGATTTGCATCCTCCAAAGTTGAAACCTTTAATGAAGTCAAACAAAAGTAGCACTCGTATGCATGTAATGGTGGCTGATATGCATTCTAAATATAGAGTGTCAATGTGTAGTTCATGTAAGACAACTGCACCTATTTCTACAGGGATGAAGAATGTGCCCTTTACACCTCGAGATTTAAAGAATCACATAACGAGTGTGAGGCAGAAAAAACAAATGGAACCTGGGGAAGTGATGGTGCTGCTTTAGTATGTTGGGAACTAAGCATACAAGAGTCTCTCATTTTTTATGAGAGTGAGATTGAAATGCAAGCATCTTTTAGGATGATGGAAGGATGTAATATGACTACAGCTTCTTTGGTAATACAATCAACTTTGATAAAACATACAAGACAAACAAATTTTTGTGGTATGATTTGAATGCATGCTATAAGTCAATTGATGAATGCCAATGAAATTGAATGTTGTCCAGAAATTATTTAATGCGCACAACATACCAAAATTTAGAGGATCTAGAAAGTAGGAAATCTGGACCAGGAACAAGAAAAGGAAACTATATCACTCATTTACCAGATGTGACACTTAAATACTTATGAAGCATACCCGAATTTAAGCAATTGGTATCAGTAAGTAGATAATGCACACCATCAATCCCTGAATGCATTTTTTTTACAAAGAATGCACATTGGTGTTGAGCCAATGCTGGTTTTTTGGTGTGTATGCTTCTCTCTCTTTTTTGTAGCACTATTTGTTGGATTCAACCACACCACCGTGACTTGGTTACATCTGGTTGTTCCGGATGTTCTTGAGTTGTATGTCGGACAAGCGAACATCACCAATATTCATCGACCAGGCTGCTTCCATTGTTGCGGTAATTAGGAACATCATTCCAAACGTATTCCATGGGCTTTTTACATTTAACATCAAAATGAATGTTGTAGAGCATCTTAACACTCGATTTACTAAAGGAGATTTGTAAAGCGGATTTTGGCATGAATAATGAACAAGATTTTTAGTTGCATTAGAATGAGATGTTGTAGAAGTACTATACATATGAGGACAACAATGGACGAAGGTTTTTGGATTCCATCTAAGAAGTCAGAAGCCAGAAGCCACTGGTCTTCTACAATGGATAAAAGTTACAATCTTACGGTTTTACGATCTCACCTATGGGTTCCGATTATGATATTACAACTATCGCCACTATCGCTTGACATAATGTGTGCTCTCCGCTACTTCAGTGACTCGTCCTCTCTCCTCAGCGCGACCAAGGGACAAAATTATTTAAAGGAAGAAAAGAGATGGATTCAATGTCGATTATCCAAAAATAAAGCAAATATGGACAAAATGAGAGAGGCCTCAATCGTCGAACATCGTCGCCATCTCGTTTATCGATCATCTCCTACATCTCCTCAATCGGAGATGGAGTTGGTGGTGACGGGGCATCTCTTTGACATCTCCACAATCTTCGATCAGCGTCGCCAACTGCTAGGACAATCTGGTGGCGCCACCACCAGTCTAGCTGAAACTCTTCTTCAGATCCTCGTCGAACTGTTCTCATGAGGGAGATGCACACCCGTGTAGCACGCTTTAGAACTCTTGGCCTCCCGTTGAAGTCCATTGTCCTCAGGTCTAGGCCTCCATTTCGCTGGATCCACTATCGGCTCGCATATGGAGGCCCGAAAATTAGAACACCCCCGCTAATGAAGGAAAAGACGAATCTCAAAGAGAGTCGGAGACAAGATGCTGATGTCATTAAAATCTCCACCACTCTGCTCTTGTCTCCACCATCAATCCACTGTTTATGAAGCCTTTCATCGACCGCAGCTCGAACAAAGCGACCTCAATTTTGCCCTCGACGATGCTGAATTTGAGCAGAAGCCTATAGATTTGAGGTTGGGTTAGCGAAAATCATTGTCGAAAGGAGGAGTTGGAGAGAGGAATCGTCGGGGAAGAAGGGTTAGAAGAAAATTGGGGGAGAAGAGGGTTATAGATTGAAGAGAGGAAGACGAAATAGAGTCTTTTTAATTTGAGTAGGTCAGTTTTCGGTTTGGTTTTGGAGTTGGGTTGGGTTGGGTTGGGTAAGCTGACGTAGCAGGTCAACCTGACATGGCGAGTCAGGTCTTCATTTTTCTGGGTCAAGTTGGGCTGACTCTACAATTATGTTAGCCACATCAACACTTAACAGACTTTGTTCACGAACGACGAAAGGTAACGGAGAATAACCAAACATGAGCTGTTGAACGAATTGAGCGGCCACGAATAAAATAAAATATTTCTAATGGTAAACACGATGTAACATCCCGAACCTTTTCACGATGAAGATATTCCACTTTGGGCCTCGACCCTCACGGTTTTTGCTTGGTGTGCAATTCAAGGTGACTTCCCATAAGGTCACCCATCCTTATTGTAGTCCACACTGCGCACGTTTAACTTCAGAGTTCTCACAAGAACTCCTCCATTTCATCCCAAAACGCGTCTTGTCAGTTAAAGCCGGTTTCTTACTTATGAACCATGGATCTCTCCCGTGCTTTGTCAATATGGGATTTGCCTAAGGTGTTACACATGACCTTTATAAAAAATTTCTAGTGACAAAGATAAACTTTTTTAATAATGTCAGTAACCAAACTTGCCATTTACCCATACTATCTCGAATTTTATTTTATGGGTAAATTGCAAGGTTGGTCACTAAGTTTAATAAAAAGGTTCATGTTTGGTCACTAAAAATATTTAATTCCATTCGTGGTCACTAAAATTAAGTAAAGATTTCAAGTTTGTCACTCTCCGTTCAATTCCATTAACTTTGACTGATGTGGCAGTCAACTCTTATAGTTGACCGTTAAATGTGTACGTGTTAATTAAAAAATCATAAAAAAATAAAATTTTAATGCTTTACAATTACACCTCATTAAAACAATACATTAAAATAAATAAAACATATAAAGAATTATAATTAAATATTAATTCTTTCTCATCCCACCTTTGATCAAAGTAAAGCTCATCGCTGATTCAACTATTTCTCCCCTATCTCGTCCACCTCCCACCCCCTCCGCGGCGATTCTGATCCTCGGTTCTCCGCCGCCGCCGACAAACTCCTCACCCACTACAAGAAATTGAAGGTAGCCTTCTCATCACCGCACTTTCCCGTGAACAAGATATTCTCTCCTTTGTTAAACAAACTCCCAAAACCCACCATTGTTTCTTCTTCTCCCGAGCTCGACCCGATTCGGGCGCCATTTTCGGCAGATGCCAGTTCAACGCAGACTAGAGTCGACGTCGAGAGGCGGAGGACATGTTGGGACTATTAGCATGGGCGGCAGTCGGCAGACATGGTATGCGGTCAGGGAAGCGTTCACGGCGACGAAGTCGACAACATCCCGAATCTCTTAACGGAAGAGTTGCAGAAGTATGTTCGAGAATTGGATTGGAAGACGGCTACTCTCACCCGTGCGATCCAAGATTTGCGGCAGAGGTTGCCTCCTGCCGACATCTCCCAACGCCTGCCTCACCTTCTTGCCCACTCCCTCGCATCCAATGCTGCTCTGAAGCTGCAGTTGAATGCTCACTCTGCCACCAAAGAGCAGGTAAAATTACGCACAGTTTCGTGTATTTTGAGATCGACATCGGATCAGGGGTTCATTTTGGGAATTGAATTAAAGGAACTGAAATCAATTTTATGGAGTTATTGTTAGAAACGGAACAACAACAAGACGAGGATACCGAATCGGGAGCTGAGTCGCGGACTAGGTCGCTCTCTTTAAGACGTTCGCGGCACTGCCCTCGATGCGCACGACAGACTATCAACCGGTCGTCTCCAGGATAAAACAGTTCCTCTGTGTACTCGCGGTTTTGTGCGAAAACCGGAGTTCTATGAACACTCTCTCTATTGTGTTTATGCTCGTTGTGGTGTGTATAGAGGGGCTGGGGAGGCGGCTATTTATAGGAGCCGAACCCCTAGGAATATACCCTCTTGCTTGGGGAATAAGTCGGATTAATTAAGGAAGATAATTATTTCCTTAATTAAAACCGTCGGTTAGGATAAATTTAGCAGAGATTATCCTTCGAATATTCCTTTTCAATCGATTATCCCTTAGAATATTCCTCAGAATAGACGATTAATAATTAATTAATAAATAATTAATTTCGTTCGAAATTTCTCCAAAAAATATGTATATAGTCTCAAGTGATCCAACCAACCAACCAACCAACCAACCGACCGGTCGGTCGGACGGACGGACGGCGCGCGCGCGCGTGTGTGGTGGTCCGTTAGGTCCTCCCTCTCCCACAAAAGTGGGTCACCCCAAGGGGCATGCCCTTAGGAGAGAGGCTCCTATCTTTATACTCATTTCACCAAGTAAAACTACCAATGTGGTAGTTTTTCCACTTGAGACTCTATAGCTTTCAAAGCTATTCATACACATTTCCAACAATCCCCCACTTGAATAGTTTTGAAACTATCTCTGAGCATCAACAGTTCCATAAGATCGGGCATAAGCTAAGGTATCGCGAAGATTTGAACCTTAGCGTAGTGGTTACACTTCCGATTTCATAAGGGTGACTCGTAGTCTTGAACCCTATCTCAGACAGTGTAGCACACCGGATCTTTTCATTGAGTTGTGTTCTCTTCTTAGCCCGTGCGTTTATGGCCATGCACGTTATCCTGGTTTAGTGAACGCTCTAGCAACTTTGTGCCTCTCAAAGTTCCATAGGGAGCGGCCCCACTCCCACATTCACATAGGTGAGTCTATCAGGAGTACCCCCAAAGTAAAGTACTCCACCCCACATAGGGTATAGACCTCATTAAGAGTTATTAACTCAACCTACATAGCTTTGGGATTCATGCTTCATTATGCATGAACTTTTCGCATACTACTCATGACTTGTTATTACCCATTGAACCCATTTCTTGGGATCTCCAGTCTATTGGGTCGGGTTACCATCACTTGTAGTCCGTGGTTCGGTAGGCATAAGTCCCATACCCTTGGCGGTATTCTGGACTTTCTCTCTAGGTAATCCTTTCGTCAAAGGATCAGCTAGATTCTGTTCGGATCTTATATGATCCACCCTCACTGCTCATATCGTTAGGAGTTCTCTAACAGTACTGTGCTTACGACGAATCTGTCGTTTCTTTCCGTTATAGAACCGGTTCTCAACTTTAGCGATAGCTGCGGTACTATCACAATGTATCAATACCGGAGGGACCGGGCTTTCCCATAGGGGAATCTCTGACAACAATCCTCTCAACCAACTTGCTTCTTCACTAGCCGTTGCTAGTGCTATCATCTCTGATTCCATAGTTGATTGAGCTAGTATTGTTTGTTTCTTTGACTTCCAAGACACAGCTCCACCAGCGATGTTAAAAACATATCCGCTGGTTTCCTTGGAGTCATCTGATAGGGTATTCCAATCCGCATCACTATACCCTTCTAGTACAGTGGGAAACCTTTGATAGTGTATACCAAGGTTTGCTGTTCTCTTGAGGTATCTCATGACCCTCTCTATAGCATTCCAATGCTCTCTACTAGGACAGCTGTTAAACCTGCCAAGCAATCCCACGACATATGCAATGTCTGGTCGAGTGTAATCCGCAGCATAACGGAGACTGCCAATGATGCTAGCATATTCTGTTTGTCTTACACTGTCTCCAGTGTTCTTGAATAGCTTTACACTAGCATCATACGGAGTACACGCAGGTTTACAGTCGAAATAGTTATACTTCTTCAAGATCTTCTCTATGTAACTAGATTGATCTAGAGAATAACCATTTGCTGTTCTAGTTATCTGGATTCCAAGCATAAACTTTGCTTCTCCCAGATCTTTCACCTCAAAGCTCTCTTTTAACATGGCTTTCGGTTCATTGACCACGTGAATATTTGTACCAAATATCAACATGTCATCTACATACAAACATATGATAGTGCAAGTGTTATTCTCTGACTTGCAGTAAATACACTTGTCACTTTCATTCACCTTAAAGCCATGTGAGAGAACGAGAGTGTCAAACTTCTCGTGCCACTGTTTTGGAGCCTGTTTCAAACCATATAATGATTTGTCCAACTTACAGACCTTCGAGGCATGTTCAGGGATAACAAACCCTTCTGGTTGTTCCATATAGATTTCTTCATCTAGATCACCGTTCAAAAAAGCAGTCTTAACATCCATTTGGTGTACCACGAGATTGTTCAAGGCAGCAAGAGCAATCATGACACGAATGGATGTTATTCTAGATACTGGTGAATAGGTGTCGAAGAAATCTATATTCTCTCTCTGCCTGTAGCCCTTGACTACTAGGCGAGCTCGGAACCTTTCGATTGCACCATCAGGTTTCCGTTTCGTTTTTAGAACCCATTTATTACCTAAGACTTTGCAGCCAGAAGGTAAGTCTGTTAGATGCCAAGTCTTATTAGCCTCTAACGATTCCATTTCATCTATAACGGCCTCATTCCAAATGTCTGCATCTATGGAAGTTAATGCTTCCTGCAAACTTTTTGGATCCTCTAGGGTGTATACTGTAGTAAAGTCATCACCAAAATCTTTAGAGATTCTAGCTCTTTTACTTCTTCTGAGTTCATCCTCAGATCCAACACCCCCACTTGTTCCGTTATCTCTAATAGCGGGTAGTACATTACCCCCACTATTTCTCGTTTTAAATGGAAATCGTGTCTCAAAGAAATCAGCATCAATGGATTCTATTACTGTACGAGCATTCAAATCATAGAATCTATATGCCTTACTATTGGCCGCATAGCCAACGAAGACACATTCATATGCTCGACTAGCCAACTTAACCCTCTTAGGATCAGGAATTCTTACGTAGGCCAAACAGCCCCACGTTCTTAAATAGGACAGATTAGGTGGCTTATTCTTCAAGATCTCATAGGGTGATTCTTTTCTATTTGTTTTTGGAAGACGATTTAGCACATAGCAAACCGTCAACAAAATATCACCCCACCAAGAAGAAGCAGCTCCAGAATTGAGCATAATAGCCACAACTAATTCTGTAAATGTCCTATTTTTCCGCTCAGCTTTACCATTCATTTCTGGTGAATATGGTGCCGTGGTTTCATGAATGATACCATGTGAGCTATAGAATTCCTTGAAGGGATTAGAGTCATACTCTGATCCTCTATCGCTCCTAAGTCTTTTTATCTTTCGATTGCACTGATTTTCGAATTCAACCACAAATACCTTGAACATGTCAAGGGCTTCACTTTTGTTTTTCATCAAATAAACAAAGCAATAATCAGAGCAATCATCTATGAAAGTGATAAAGTATCTCTTGCCAGACATAGTTAACGTCCCATCAAGTTCACAAATATCAGAATGAATCAGATCTAAGGGTTCTGATTCTCTACTCACAGATTTATGGGGCGTTTTCGTTATTTTAGCTTGGCTACAGAAATCACATTTATCAAATTCATTCATTGAGAGTTTAGGGATATGTCCTAGCTTGCTTAAATTTTTCACAATTCGTGTGTTCACATGACAAAGACGAGCATGCCAAACATTCAAATCACACACCATGTAAACTGAAGAATTCATCTTATTAATTTCGACATTCAACTTGAACATCCCATTACATGCATATCCCTTTCCCACAAAACTCCCATTCTTAGTAAGAGTATACAAGTCTGCCCCAATAGATTGATTAAACCCAGCCTTATTAAGAAGATATCACGAAACAAGATTTTTCCTTATCTCTGGAGTGTGCAACACATCCTTAAGCACCATCTTCTTCCCAGAGGTGAAGTTCAGCTCCACTTCACCAGAACCAGCAACCATAGTGGTGTGAGTAGTCCCCAACAACACTTTCTTGTCAGCAGGTGCTTCTTCATATGTTTTAAACATAGCACGATTGTTGCATACATGCTTCGATGCACCTGTATCCAGCCACCATCCTTCTGAGTCACCAGTGAGGTTAACTTCAGCGATCATATCTGTGATCATGGCTACCAAATCCTCTTCTGTCAAGTTAACCCTGGCCGCAGCGGCGGGGTTATGCTTGTTCCTGCACTTTTTTGCCATATGACCCGGTTTTCCGCAGTTAAAGCAGATAAACGGTGGGTCATTCTTAGAGGTTTGGGCCATGACCCTTTGGTTACCTCGAGAGGCACCATTCTGGTGGGGGCGGACCTGCTGGTTCTTACCCTTAAACCCTTTCTGGTTAGGTTTAAGAGCTCTAGGGGTGGGTCGTTTAGCAGTGACGACCATCACCTCTTCTTTCATATCCTGCTTGCGGGACTCTTCCTCAATCCTTAGGCGAGTAATCAAACTTTCCAGTGAAAATTCTTTGGTTTTATGTCTAAGCATATTCTTAAAATCTTTCCACGAAGGGGGCAGCTTATCAATAATGCAAGCAACTTGAAATTGATCGTCCAGAGGCATACCTTCAGAGACGATCTCGTGAGCTATTTTCTGAATTTCGTGGGACTGAACTTCGACAGACTTGTCATCCACCATCTGGTAGCGCAGGTAGCGGCTGACAGCATACTTCTTAGCTCCAGCCTCCTCCGTGTCGTACTTCTTTTGGAGCGCATCCCAGACCATCATTGCGGTGTTCTTGCTGTCCGCATAGTAGTCGTAGAGGTCGTCTGCCAGGCCGTTGAGGATGTAGCCCTTGCATAGGAAGTCATGCTCCCTTTCCTTAGCAGAAGCAGTCCTCTCCTCATCAGTCGCTTCTTCCGGCAGCTCGACGGGCATGCTAGTGAGGCAGTGTGCCAACTTCTTGGTCGTCAGGTAAAACTCCATCTTTTGTTTCCAGCGACGAAAGTTGACTCCAACGAAGCGAAACGGTCGATTGATATCGACAGCACCAGATCCGGCCATGTTGTTCTGTTCAGTCGACATAGCAGCAACCAAACGTCTTAAAATTGTTAGAAACGGAACAACAACAAGACGAGGATACCGAATCTGGAGCTGAGTCGCGGACTAGGTCGCTCTCTTTAAGACGTTCGCGGCACTGCCCTCGATGCGCACGGCAGACTATCAACCGGTCGTCTCCAGGATAAAACAGCTCCTCTGTGTACTCGCGGTTTTGTGCGAAAACCGGAGTTCTATGAACACTCTCTCTATTGTGTTTATGCTCGTTGTGGTGTGTATAGAGGGGCTGGGGAGGCGGCTATTTATAGGAGCCGAACCCCTAGGAATATACCCTCTTGCTTGGGGAATAAGTCGGATTAATTAAGGAAGATAATTATTTCCTTAATTAAAACCGTCGGTTAGGATAAATTTAGGAGAGATTATCCTTCGAATATTCCTTTTCAATCGATTATCCCTTAGAATATTCCTCAGAATAGCCGATTAATAATTAATTAATAATTAATTAATTTCGTTCGGAATTTCTCCGAAAAATATGTATATAGTCTCAAGTGATCCAACCAACCAACCAACCGACCGGTCGGTCGGACGGACGGACGGCGCGCGCGCGTGTGTGGTGGTCCGTTAGGTCGACATCGGATCAGGGGTTCATTTTGGGAATTGAATTAAAGGAACTGAAATCAATTTTATGGAGTTATCAGCGGCAAGAACTGTAATTTTCATTTGTCTGATCTTTATTTGAGATGCCAGATCAATTTCTCGTTTTTTCGCCCATATCGGTGGCGAAATAAGGTCTGAGGGAGGATGTTTGTCGGAGGCGATAAAAAAGGGGTTTTAATTTTGTAATGGTTGTAAAACGGCGGATTCTGTGGTGCATGCACGGCATTAGTGCCGCCTGCTTTTTAGCCGTTGGATTTAGTGTATTTAATGAGCACCGTTGATTATTAACCATCACTTAATCAGAGTAGGTTAAACCTATTAAGTTTGGTTGAACCTTTTTTATATTTAAATCCTTCCCCAAATGGCTAATTCAATCTCCGACAATCAGATCTCTCCTCTTTGAAATCAAAAGCTTAATCTCCTCATCTTCTTCCCCCTTTCATCTCATAAGATCAAGACCCCTCTACTTTACCCCAAAAATGGCGATGTTGCAGAGATATAAGCTTTTGGTTTGGCAGTGCGGAGCGTCCACGAGGAATCCGACGCAAGACCCTCTACACGCTCCTCTCCCACAGTATTAGGGAAAAATTCAAAATTGAATTTCCCTCTCCTTGATCCGGTGTCGTTGAAGGAAGGAAGACTCCGTCAGGACGAAGCGACGCCGTTGCAGCCGAAGACTAAGCGATCGTGGAGCGATGTCGTTTCCGGTGGAACTGGCAAACTTCCCAGTTGATACCCAATCTTCTATTTCATGTTATTTTTCCTTTTTCGGGCTGTACTTCCTTCAGACCCAAGTTTGTCTGCTTTACCCCTTTTGTAAGACACTGAACATTTCCTGCTTTGCTATTTAAGCAAGTGGATGGTAATCAATCAAGCTAGGTTTTTCTCTTCCAACAACAAGGTGTTGTTATGGTATCAGAGCCTACACAACCCTAGCCGCCATGGACGCACAACAGCAAGCTGGCCTCGACAACCAGCAAGCTGCCAACAATGAACAACCTCCCAACAACAACAACAATGTTCAGATGCACATCGATCCCATGGCAGATCCCTACTTTCTCCATGGATCTGAACAGCCCGGGTTGCAGCTAGTGGGTGAGAAACTAACCACCACTAACTACAACGACTGGAGCAAAGCTATGATGAATGCATTGGGAGCCAAGAATAAACTTGGTTTCATCAATGGAGTTTTGACAGAACCAGCAGCAGAGAGTCCCCTGCACTGGCCCTGGACCAGGACCAGGAACAATATCATGGTACTTGCTTGGATACAGCAAGCTGTTGAACCTGGCATCAGGAAAACAATTATGTCCTTCAAGTCTGCCTATGAAGCTTGGAGAAGCCTTCGTTCAAGATATGGACAGGGAGATATGGTCAGAATCGCTGAGATAGTTGAAGATCTGGCCTCTATTAAGCAAGATAACCTCTCTGTTACAGAATATTATGGCAATCTCATTGCTTTGCGAGATGAGCTTGATAACTATCAGCCTCTTGAACCTTGTGACTGCACCCCTACTAGCCACAATGATTGTAGAGCTATGAAACAAGTCCTTTTCTACAGAGACACCAACAGCACGCCCGCCGCCGTCAACAACCGTCGTCAGGCTACGGCGATGTACATAGGGTCCAACAACGGGATTTTCCGTCAGATTCCAAGAGGGCAAGAAGGAAATAAAACTATTTGTTCGTCTCTTCCCCGCCGTTCGAAGATAAGAGGAACAGAAGAGACGATGCCTTGCCAATTTTCAATGCTTTCCTTTTATGCGATTGTGTAACCCTGTGCTGAATTGGCCTCTCGGTGAGCAAGTAAAACTGAGGGGAAAGCAACTGATTTTCGTTCCTGAACCGCCCTAAAATTCTTGCATCCAACTTTGATTTCAATTCCCAGAATGAGTTCGGCAGCCGAAATTCCGACACCCAATTGTGAACTTGGGAGAATCGAGGGCGCTATATGTCATCAGGGTTTCTTGCTCTTAGGATTGGTTCCGCCATCCAAAAATCGTTGACCCAACCAGCTTGTTTCAACCATTCCGAACAACATCTATGCTATTTGAACCGGTCAGAAAATTTTGACGGTACCAGTGCCGTCACTGCACCATAGAAGTTGCCACTAAGGTGAAAATTGTAATAGATTGAATTTTATTTTATACTTATAATTTTTTAATTGTCACATTACATATTTAATGGTTAATTATAAGAATTGACTGTCACGGGTTTGACGGAGAAGACCATATCTGAAATGTTCAACTAATTCTAGTGACCACGAATGAACTTAAATATTTTTAGTGACAAACGTGAAACTTTTAGTAAATGCAGTGAACTCACTTTGCAATTTACTCGGTTTATTTTATGGTTCTCGAGCAAAACAAGATGCAATTATTCAACGAAAATAATACAAGATTTGCAATCTATTGGCAATCCCTCCCAAGTCTCAATCTAAACAGACTCTAGTATACAAAGCGGAATTTTCTCAGATAAGCAAGCACAGTCCCGGCAACCAAATGGCACTACTCTTCTAGTCACCGATCACCTTCCGGAGCCGCTCCCTCACAAATTCGCTTCGAGCTTTAGCTCGGGCTCGTTGAGGCTCAACATTCGCCAGAGACAAGTACGCACCATACCCGAACAGCGAAGCCCCGGCCGCAAACAGCAAAACCGTCGCCACCACTTGCTTCCGCGTCGGCGGGTACGACCAAACCGCCATCTCTCGCCCGCCGGAATTAGCAGAACAAACACCAGAAAACAACAACCCTAAAAGGCTAAAACCTTCCTCTGCGGAAAAGTAGAGGGATTTCATCAGATTAAGGGCCGAGGTCCCACTAATCTTATTTGGGCTGTTTCCAAGCCCAGACCATCTCTTCGGCCCATCACCATTTTCCTCCATACGAAGTTTTGAAGTTCGCGGCTGGCTTCTGTTCCCTTCCTTCCCCGCCGGGACAGAGATTGTTTCGTTCTTCGGCAGATGTATGCAATGCAATGTTGAAGTTCTCTTCCAGACCTTCAATCCGTCTTCTGATACAATCCTGCAAAACCCTTCGCCACCTCCACCAGTTCCACGCTCACATAATTTCCAGAGGCCTCGAGCAAGACCATTGGACCGTCTCCAACTTACTGAAGCTATCGACGTCACTGTCGGCGTCTCTTTCCTACTCCACCTCTGTTTTCAACAGAGTGATCGCTCCTTCCACCTTGCTCTACAACGTTCTGTTGAAAGTCTATTCGCGGAGTTCCCGCTCCAGGGAGGCGTTTCTGCTGTATACGAGGATGAAGAAGAGTGATAGTGCGTCTCCAGATGAGTACACTCTCTCTTCCCTTGTCACCTCGTGTTCGCGGGAATGTAAGTTGAGAGAAGGTCGAATAGTTCATGGGTCGGCGATTAGATACGGGGTTGTGGTTGATATGTTCGTGGGTTCAGGTTTGGTTGACTTTTATGGTAAATGTACGGAGATGGTTAGCGCAGCTAAAGTGTTTGATGAAATGCCCGAGCGAAACGTTGTTTGTTGGACAGCGCTGGTGGTTGGGTATGCGAATGCTGGGGACATGGGAAATGCGAGGGAAGTGTTTGGCCTAATGCCAGTGAGGAATTCGGTTTCCTGGACTGCTATGATCATTGGGTTGGTGAAAGCCGGGGACACTATCGGTGCGAGAAAGTGGTTTGATGAAATGCCTCGAAAGACTGTTGTTGATTATACTGTTTTGATTGATGGATATGCCAAGGCTGGAGATATGGCTTCTGCACTGGCATTGTTTGAATCTTCTCCGGAGAAAGATATTGTTGCATGGTCAGCATTGATATCGGGATTTGCTCAAAACGGTATGCCAAAGCAGGCTTTGGAAATGTTTAGAGAAATGGAGTCTGCGGGTGTTATACCTGATGAATTCATCATGGTGAGCTTGATGTCAGCTTGTGCGCAGATAGGTAGCTTGGATTTGGCAAAATCAGTTGATCATTACCTGGCCAAGAGCTCGATTGATTCTTGTCAAGCTCATGTAATGGCTGCCCTTATAGGCATGAATGCAAGGTGCGGAAACATGGCTAGAGCAGAAGAATTGTTCAACAGAATGCCTCAGCACGACCTGATTACATACTGTTCTATGATAAAAGGATATTCTATCGATGGACGTGGTGATCAAGCTATTGAACTATTCAATAGGATGCTAGATGAGGGGTTGGTTCCGGATGAAGTTGCCTTTACAGTGATTTTGTCAGCCTGCAGTCGAGCTGGTCTTGTGGAAGAGGGTTGGGATTTTTTTACTACTCTCACGGATAAGTACTCCTTAGTCCCAACTCGTGACCACTATGCATGTATGGTTGATCTTCTGAGCAAGGCAGGGCGGCTAGAAGCTGCTTACGAGCTTCTAGTATCGTCCCCTTTAGAGCCTTATGCATGTGCTTGGGGTGCACTTCTTGGAGCTTGTAAGCTTTATGTTAATCTTGAATTGGGTGAGAATGTTGCCACTAGACTATTTGAGCTTGAACCGCAAAATGCCGCTAATTATGTGCTGCTGTCTGACATCTATGCCGCATCAGATCGTTGGTTGGATGTTTCTCTTCTTAGAGAAAAGATGAAAGAGAGAGGGCTTAGAAAGATACCGGGTTGCAGTTGGGTATAGAGCTTAAATTGTGGATTATTGTTGTTGGCTTAATGACAGCATCTTCTTGCCTAGCAAAAAATGGGATGTACATTGTGATTAACTGTTCAATTTTGGCGCTTCTGTTCCAATTTGTGGTTCTGTTCATATGGAGGAAATCCAGAGGAGGAACAACAATTTTCATGGGGAACCACTTCCTTCTGAAAGAATCAAATTTGGTGTTGATTGGCTTTTGTTTCGTACCTAGTTGCTTGTGTAATTTCATGTACATGGGGCTTCAAACATAATTGATTAGGTTTTGTACCTAGTTGCTCATGGCATATCTACTCCGCTGCTGCATGATATCAATTGAAGGTACCTGCTAGCTGAAATGACTCTTTGTTCTCATTGTCCTTAAACAAGAGTTTAAAGATCATCTGCAAATATTGCTTCCTTTGAGTTATCCTGCCCTGTTGTTCGAACTGATATCATTGTTTGCTGGAAAACATTTCAGATTTGAAGTCAGGAAAGCGGCTCCTCTCACTGTATTAACGGAAACAGAGGGTGCCACAGGTAAGAGGCATGATCCTATAATGTTCCCGTTAACTTCTTTAGATAAATTCTCTTCACTTAAAGATGGGGTGGACATATTTTTCTAATGCCCGCTTACATCAACATTTAACGTAGAGAAAGCTATTAGTTTACTGTTTAACAACAGCAGTTACATTTTAAGACTACTAGATCTATCAGGGACAACAGCCTCTATTAAAGAGGAGGACTTGGAAGCTGTTTTTTCCCCCAATTCTGTAGTTTGCTAGTAATATCATCATAATGCTCTACAATCAACTGCTTGTCCCATGTTTATAAGACGAGGTAGTTGTCGAGCAAATGACACAGTTCACTCTCTGAATTTGCCTTTCCTAGATGATATTAGCTGCAAAAGGTAAATGAGATTCTGGTTCATCACAATTGACAAGCATACTGTGGTTCTCCAAGTAGGAGATTGCAGCAGCAGCATTTAGAGCTGCACCTACAGGGAATGATTCCTCATCAATGAAGAAGTAAGGGGAGTGAAGTGGTTGATCTGATTTCAAAGTCTCATTCTTTATTCCAATGACAAAAATTGCAGCAGGCATCTTCTCCGAGAAGGAACTGAAATCCTCTGCACCCATGGTGACTGGAAACGAGTGCACATTGGATTCACCAAGTAAGATTTCTCCAACCTTCTTGACATGCTTATAAACTGCTTCATCGTTAATCATTGGAGGATGTGGAAGATGTCTGTGCTCCATGAAGTCCATTGTGACATTGCACCTATGCACTGCTGCCTGCATTTCAATGATCTGGAAAGAGAATGAGCAGATGCTGTTTTGTTATTCGACTTAAGACTGGTTGTAAAAGCACAATAATATACACAGAGAATTCAATAGTTTATAAGGAGGGCCCTCTTACCTCTTTAATCCTGCGCTGAAGGTTGTGTAGACCTTGTTTGCTTAGACTTCTAAAAGTTCCTTCAAATCGCACTGAATCTGGAATTACATTTCCTGCTTTGCCTCCTTCAATCAATCCCACTGTCACCACCTATTCATTTTTGAAGAAAAGTGAAGTGAAATCCATTGTTTAAACTGCTAGTATGATGGTATGGACTATGATATCTAATGAACCTGCATATTATTAAGAGAAATAGGATTTTACTGCAGCTTCAAGGGGATCAGTCTCTCGTGATACGATCTGTTGGAGAGCAACTATGGCAGAAGATGCCGCCACAATCGGGTCTCTACCCATATGCGGGGATGAGGCATGGACTCCAACCCCATGGATTGTTGCAGAGAAGAGCCCAGCACCCGCAAGAAACGGACCAGGTCTTGAAGCAATCGCACCAGTAGGCACCGATGGCAAAACATGTATGCTTATGATGGCATTCAGATCATCAAGACATCCATCTTGTAACATATGGTAAGCACCAGAATAACCCTCTTCCCCTGGCTGGAATACAAGCTTGACAGTTCCCTTTTCAATACGTGAACAGCATAAATAAATCAGTACGCAGAAACTCAAAAAGGATTAATCACTTCCACAGTTCGTGTTATAATTCACCTTCAGCGTGTCTCTCCTGTCATGGAGTAACTTGGCGGCACCAAGGAGCATTGCAACATGAGAATCGTGGCCACAAGCATGCATCTTACCGTCAATTTTACTCTTGTGCTCCCACTCTACCTTTTCCTTTGACACCCAGAAACAAGAAGTCAAAAAGGGTTTGGTAGCAATTTCATATAATACCCTTTTGTTTCCTATATGCAGGGTGAAAACAGGGAGAGAGCGAAGACCTGAAGAGGGAGGGCATCCATGTCGGCTCTGAGGGCAAAAATTGGCTTGCCACCATTTCCAATGGAAGCGACCACTCCAGTTTGGGCAACTGGCCATTTATAATCAATCCCAAGCGAATCAAGCTCAGCTCGAATGATCTCACTGGTTCTGTGCTCCTCAAAACCCAGCTCTGGATACTCATGAATCCTCCGTCTGATCCCTCTCATCCATTCAAAGAACTCCGGCTCCTTTGCCGATGCCATGAGCTGCTTAGCTAGTGACTCCAGCCCTGGATGTTCACCGCCGGCGACCGTAAAACCCAGAGATTGACCCAATATTAATAGAACTGTGATCAGCAAGAAGCGACAGCTGGACCGGCGGCCGATGAACTCCATGAGGAAACCGACAGCTAAGTTCCCCGTCCGCCGAGCTCACTTTGGGTTAAAGGGTTCTGTTTGGTTCATCAAGTTCTATCCCATTGGCGGGCTAGATAATAAAGTAAAGCATCTTCATCTATTGACTCGATTTGTACATATTCCAAGGGACGAAGGCCGTGTGGAACTCAATCTTTTCCACTTCCAGGTGATTAATGATAATCTCTCTCTGAAATATCTATTTTAGTGAATCCCCCAATTTCCCATTAATATTGCTAGATATACACTTGTATTTTTTTCCTCACGAGACACGATATCGTTGTTAGGTCTATTTTCACTGGCCGTGTCAGTTTACGAATAGTCTCTCAACTTTTAAATAAATTTTTATATGTAACAAATTCTAAAAATAGATTAATCGGTCACCAATTACCTTGATTCAAATTCCTCAAATTTATATTATTTAGCTTTTTTCGTTCAAATTTCTGTCTTCATCATTGTCCATATTTATTCTTCGAATCTCTTCCTCTTTTTATCTGTTCTGTTGGTAGGGGTCACAGACTAGATGGTCAGCGGTTATTTGCTAACAACCAAACTTGTTAGCCAATTTGTCACAGCTTAACGGTTAATTGTTAATCAAGTGGTTAATAGCTTATTCATATGTTATAACTATATAATAGAAATTCTTCTAGATCTAATCGATGATTCAACAACTCAAATTAGCCACCTTTGGATTTACACTTTGATATGTGCAGATTAGTACTAACGATGAACTGTAGGGTTCCAAGTTTTCATATTTTCCAAGGTTGACATGCGCATTACTGATAACTTTTATTGTGTAAAATTTGAAATGACACAACGTTGGCACCATACTCGCTCCATTTTCTATACCTGCATAATCTCTCTACTACGACAAGTCGATAACATCCATCAAACATCCACTTTCTCTTCATTCCGCAGCAACAGCAACAGCAACACCACCACCAGCGTCCAAGTACGAAATGGCGACCGCAGCATGGAGAGCAGCTCCGACGGGGAGCACATCCTCATCGATGACGAGTCGTGGCGAATGCAGCGGCTCCACCGCTCCACCATCGCCGCCCGCCTCCCTTTTCCTGGCGCCAATCATAAAAAAGGCCGCATTCATCTTCTGAGAATAGAAGCTGAAATCCTCTGCCGCCATGATCGGCGGAATCACCTTCACGTTCGATTTTCCAAGCAGCGCTTCTCCAACGTACTTGGCGTGATCGTACATTTCTCGATGGTTCACGGTGGCAGGGTAAGGCCTCCCGGTGTCCGTCATGAAGTCAACCGAGCCACTGCACCGGTGAACCGCCGCTTGTCCCTCCACTACATCTCTGATCCGCTGCCGGAGGTCATCTAGCCCTTCAGTGGTCGCGCTACGGAACGTGCCTCCCAGTCTCACCGTCTCCGGGATCACGTTCTCTGCTCGTCCGCCCTCCACGAACCCTACTGAGATCACCTGAACCATGTATACGAATGAGCGATAAGAGAGTGGGTATAAGATCCATAATGAAATCTCTCCAAACAACTCGAGTTATTTGCATCAGTTGGTTTATGGTTTATGATATGATATCAGTATATCGGAGCTGATTTAGCCAATTAGTCGAGTCAGCGTACCCCAGCTTGAAGAGGATCGGTTTCTCGGGAGATGATTTGCTGGAGAGCGAGGATGACGAAGGCAGCAGCAAGAACCGGGTCTCTTGTATCCTGTGGCCTGGCGGCGTGTCCACCGGTCCCTCTGATGGAGGCCATGAACCTTCCGGCTCCGGCGAGGAGTGTTCCTGGCCGGGATCCGATTGAGCCGACGGGAAGATCGGGGTAGACGTGGAGGCCGAACATGGCTTGGATGTTGTCGAGAGCACCGGTTTGGAGCATGTGGTATGCGCCAGCGCCACCTTCTTCTGCTGGTTGGAAGACCAGTTTCACAGTGCCCTTTACCAGGTGACAGAGTTTAGAGAAGGTTTAATTACCACATAATGATCATTATTGATAATGTTATGTAGCTTATTATGATTAGTATGAATGGTTTACTACCTTTAGGTCGGCCTGTTTGAGTTGAAGCAGCTTGGCAGCGCCGAGTAGCATTGTGACATGGGCGTCGTGGCCACAAGCATGCATCTTGCCCTTGTTCTTGCTCTTGTGTTCCCACTCCACCAATTCCTATCCATTTTCCAACATTCCGATTCATTCCAGTCAGTCAGGAGAAAATAGGTTAATTTTGAAATTATAAATAGTCAAATATTACATCCTCTTCGATTCCTTTTAGTTTATGAATAATTAGTCATGTTGGATCGAACTAATCGATCGACTGGACGTAAAAACCATCTCCTGACAAGCATGTCTATACAATAAGTTATGTACTGAAACAATATGAAGAAAACCATCTATCAATTGAGACTTTTTTTTAATTACCTTTTCCTTCATTGGCATTGGGAGGCTTACAATATCATTCTTTTTAATATATGAAGAAATTATCTTGATGGGCTGGGTATGAGCAAGGAAGCTAAATCCAAACTCACTCTTTCCCCAAAAAACTTTTTATTGGTTTTATCCATACTCGCAATACTCAAACAATACGAAATTTTTTCATGTTGACTGGACTTGCAATGCGAGTTTGATTGTCATCCCTAATTAGGGGTGTGCAAGGATGCCCATCATAGGGGCTTTTATTTAGGTATCCTACTTAAGTTAATTATATATTACAAAATGAATTTGTGCATATACGATTAGTTCATTGTGAGTGTGATTATAGGCTTAAGTCTATTAATAAATACTAGAATTAGTCATTGATCAACATTTTCATGTATATATATACCACAAAGCATTATGATTTTTTTTTTATAACCAGAGCATTATGATTAGAAAAGAGTACAAAAATTAAAAAGCCAATAAATAATTTTGTTTCAAATAATGATTGAAAGATATTACTTTTTAATGAGAATAAATTATTTTATTGTACTTGAAATTTTTTTTTGATGGGGCCACCTTTCAATTTTGGAAAATATCAATTCAATTCACGGCCATGGTACGGCAATTATGATTTACTTGGGCATTTCATTACTTACCGGCTCATATTCAGCTAATCACAATCACTAGTGATCAGATTCTTTTGATTTGATAATCAATTTTTAACAATTGACCAAAAAGAAGACAGAAAAAGGAAATCGCAAATGACAAAACATCCAACTCCTCAACCGCCGGCCAAGGAGAACGAACCTGAATGGGCAGCGCGTCCATGTCCGCTCGCAGACCGAACCACGGTTGCGACCCTGACCCGACCGAACCAACGACCCCGGTCTCCGCCACCGGCCACGTGTACTGAATCCCGAGCGAGTCGAGCTCCGATCTCACCAGCCGACTCGTGTTGAATTCGTGGAAAGCCAGCTCCGGATCCTCGTGGATCCTCCTCCGGACGCTTCTCAGCCATCCCAAGAACTCCGGCTCTCTTGCCATCTGCAGCAGCTCGTCAGTGAGCGAACTCAAACCCACCTGACTCGGACGATTCTCCGCCGCCGCGTCGGCGGCGGCATAGCACGTGCAGAGTACCATCGTTAGAGTGATTAACCACGCCATTGGTAGACAGAGAGGGAGTGAAGTTCAATTCGAGGGGAGGAGGTTTTAAGCCTTTAGAGGAAGGAAACGTGTCGCTTTCGCTCGTTTCAATGGCGGAAGTATAGATAGCCAGGTAACCACCGGCGTTCTCCCCACCGTCACTTTCACGTGTGCGTGTGGTCCATTATTGACCCTATCCTATGGGCTTTGCCTTTGTGGCTTAATGGTGACGCGATGGGCTATTTGCAGTATGTTTGGGCTTCTAGAAAGCAATTACTAGATCAGTAGCATTACGCAATAATATCGACTGGGCCAATTTTCCAAACAAAAACCAAAACTATCTTTGCCTATGGTAATAGCATGGTAAAGGAAACCGTACCGGACATCATACCGGATTCGTTTCTGGTAGGGTATTTTGTGGTAGAACCGTGATTTAACCGTTTCAAACCGTTAAATACCGTTTTTATAATAATAAAATATTATTTTTGTCAAAAAACCGTACCGGCCAAAACATTGTATCGTTCCGGAAAATACCGGAATAAAACCGAAATATACCGGATGGCGAATAGAAAATCATATAATATCAACATAATTTTTCTAAAATAAATTAATATACTATTCAAATTAGTCCACAAATCCCTCCTGTCACGTACCATATTGGCCATTGGATCAATTTCCGTATCTCCCTCTCTCTCCTCCTTTCTTCTCAATTCTCTTTCTCCCTAGTCCCTATACGCCCTCACCAGTCACCACCATCAATCAATTTCCCATTCTAAATCGCTATTTGCCGCCCGCAGTTTTACTATTTGCCGCCCGTAGTTAGAAAAAAAGACGATTTTGCCCCTAACCCTATCCCACCCTCAACCCATATGCCCCCCTTCAACCCTCCCTCCTCCTGCCTCCCTCCCGCCGCCGACGACCCTCCTCCTGCAGGCCCTCCCGCCGCCGCCGACTCCTCCCTCCTGCCAACCTCCTGCCGCCGACTCCTCCCTCCGCCGCTGCCGACTTCCTCGCTCGCTCTCGCCGCCGCCAACCTCCCAAGCTCGGCGGAGGGAATTTTTTTTTATTTTTTTCAGTCGCCGTCCGACTGGCCGGAGCGGACGCCGTCCGACTAGCCGGAGCGGACGCGGTCCGACTGGCCGGAGCGGACCCCGTCCGCCCGGTTTGATCGGACCCCGTCCGCCCGGTCTGGTCGGACCTCGTCCATTCGGTCTGGTCGGACCCCGTTCGCCCGGTCTGGTCGGACCGATCTGATTGGGTTTATGATTCGGTTTGAATGGTTCGGTTAAATAAATATTTATTAGATTTATTTTAAATACAATTGTTAGTATCTTAATTAGTTTAATATTGATAGTTGAATAATTAGTATATAATTGTTAATTTGACCACAGTTGGTTAAGGGAATTAGGGTTTGACTTAATTAGGGTTTGACCCGAATTAGGGTTTGACTAAATTATATATTATTTGACCACAGTTGGTTGAGGGAATTAGGGTTTGACTTAATTAGGGTTTGACCCGAATTAGGGTTTGATCTGAATTAAGGTTTGATTTAATTAGGGTTTGGCCCGAATTAAGGTTTGATATAATTAGGGTTTGACTTAATTAGGGTTTGACCCGAATTAGGGTTTGACTAAATTATATATTATTTTGACCATAGTTGTTTGAGGGAATTAGGGTTTGACTTAATTAGGGTTTGATTCGAATTAGGGTTTGACTTAATTAGGGTTTGACCACAGTTGAAATAATCTCACCCAAGATGACGGATAACAACAATAAGAATCAACTCGACTCAATTGGACCAATAATGACAATAAAGAAGGAAAGCATCTCATCCACCTCCTATACCTTATACTCCTCTGAAACCCTAAACCCTCATTCCCCTTGAATAGCTACCTTCAACCTCGATCCATCCAATCCTACTAGGAAATTATTTTAGAGGCAAAATCATCTCTTCCTCCACTAACAAGAAACTCCTAGTTACCACCCCCAGAGCCCTAAAAACACCTCGATGAAAGTTTTGGCACTATTCATCTCTTTTTGTCGGGAATGTCCAATTGATAAACAATCGATTCCAACACATTTGTATCCACATTTTAAGAGATCGATGAAAGTTTTAATATTTTTTCATGTCGGTGACTCTAGTAATTGGTAAAAGATGTTTTTGTCCGACCTTCCCTGAGCCGCAAAGAGTCCTCTTCGTGCCTCGATTCCTTGGAAGTTTTATAAAACATAATTTAGGTACGATGATCTTATTAAATATGAAATAAATACAATTAAAAAGGTTTAATCAATATTTATAAATATTTTATAACTATTCTACATAATTAAAATGAATTATTCATAAGTTTATACAATATTTATGATAATTTATGATTAAATATCCATTCTCTTATACACTACTTCAGATCATTTGTAATTATTTAACATACTATAATTATTTAATTGCTATTATACTGAATTTATTTATTTTAGCTCTATTTACATAATTATAAAATAAGTATGAATTAGTTTGTACAATATTTTTTATAATTTAATTTTTTTTCTTATGAATAAATTTTAGTTTTTCTAATTCATAAATATAATTAATAAACATACATATAATTATTAGCATGATATAATATTAAAAAAATAGAAGATTGAGTTAAATAATTAATATCATTTAGCGACGAATTTTGTGACGGTTTTGAAACCGTCGCTAATGCACGGTCCGCTCGCCGGCGTCGGACGGGGTCCTCCCGCCGGCGTCGGACGGGGCCCTCCCGCCGGCGTCGGACGGGGCCCTCCCGCCGGCGTCGGACGGGGCCCTCCCGCCGGCGTCGGACGGGGCCCTCCCGCCGGCGTCGGACGGGGCCCTCCCGCCGGCGTCGGACGGGGCCCTCCCGCCGGCGTCGGACGGGGCCCTCCCGCCGGCGTCGGACGGGGCCCTTCCGCCGGCTGTGGTGATTTGATTCTGGCGGTGGTGGCGATGTCGGCGATTTGGCGGCGGTGGTGGATTGGCGCCGGCGACAGTAGTGGTGGAATGGGGTTTGTTTTATAAAAAATGAACAAAGGGTAAAAATGTCATTTTAGTTTAATTTACGGGCGACAAATAGTAAAGAGACGGGCGGCAAATAGTAACCCTCTTTCCCATTCCCATTCTCTCTCCCTCCTTCTCCCTGTACCCTTTGTCCCTTTCATGTTTCACTATCAAAATCTACCTCCCTTCTCTCTCCTCCTTTCTTCTCCCTGTACGCCCTCACCACCATCAATCCATTTGACAATTTCCCATACCCATTCTCTCTCCCTCCTTCTCCCTGTACCTTCTCACTATCAAAATCGATTCCACATCCTCTGCCTTTCAAACAAATGCAGCACAAAATCAACGAGAGTAGAGGCTCAAGAGGGATTGTGCGAGAAGGGACCGCCGGAGGCAAGAGAAAGATTGGTGGTTCATGGAGGTTCGGTTGAGCAGGGGAGGAGCGATGGCGGAGAGGAGTGTCGGAGCAGAGAGCAGCGGCGGAGCGGGGAGCAAGGATCGACTCGAGGAGAAGAGGAGCGGCGTCGCAGGTCGTCGCCGGTCAATCTCTGGTCGCGAGTCGCCGCTTGCTGATCGCCAGTCGCGAAGAGGAGCAGCTGGGAAGAAAGAAAGTTTCTGGCTGCTTGCTCCTGTTTGGCGTGACTTCCATAGAGATTAGGGTTTGCGTTTTTGGCCTTTGGCTGAATTTTTTTTTTTAATTTTTGGTGGTAAAACGACGACATGTTAGTCCCATAAGGCTACCGCCGGTTAGACCAAAAACTGGCGGTATTTCCTTTCGTGCCGGTTGAACCGAAAAAATCGGCCGGCACGAAATTCTGGCCAGCTTTACTCTACCGTATCGCCCTAGGTCCGGTTTCCGGTTTTTCCGGTTGAACCGGCCGGTACGATCCGGTTTCCTTTACCATGGGTAATAGGAAGGGTTTATGTAAACCATCCCATAACCGTTTTCCGAATATTCAAATTTATATCCGTCTCATGAATGCGGGAAAGTTTTTACAATCTCATCATCATATCGGTGGTTTTCCGGATACCCGAAATAATACTATAGCCCCATACATCCAATATTAATATATCTAATATTTTACATGTAAATTTTATTGCACTAAACGAACATATTATATCATGAAGTTAACAAAAAAATTTACACAGGAATATCTAATTTCCCTGGAAGCGAAGTGCCAAGAATTAAAAACATTTGCATTCTAGAGAGAGAGAGAAAGAAAAGAGAGTAACAACTTTTCCCGCTCGATTGGCCTCCTGCCGTCGAGGGTTCCCCACTGTCCTAGCGGTCTTTCCTCGCCGTCTGGCCTCCTGCCGGCGGCGAATTCATCTGGCGGCGCTCCTCGTCGTCGGTATTCTCCTTTCTTTCTTGAGTTTTTTGGTTGGTTCGCAGTCCCAATGGCAGAATCAGGCAAATCGTGGGCCGATCTCTTCACCATTGATGAGAGCAGTCGGCTTCACTATGAAGAGCCAGATCTGGTCGATGGAGCTCTGCGACTGCCGAAGGACTTGCTGGACAAGGGTGCTGCTCGTTGGCAAAACTGTCTGGTAGGTCAATTCATCTCTGCTCCGCCATCTCTAGGTATTATTCGAAATTGGGCGAACAAGCTTTGGGGGAGAGATGGCAAAATTAGGGTTTCCTGGTTTGGAGATAAGCTTCTGGTTTTCCAATTTCCGACTGCTTCAACTTGCTCTTGGGTTTTTCTGGGAGGTCCATGGCATCTTTGGGGTAACAATCTGTTCTTGAGGAAATGGGAGAAAGGGATTTTGCCAGTTACTCCCGAGAAGCCTGGCCTTCCGGTTTGGGTGAAGATCTCAGGATTGCCAATGGAGTGTCTGTTGCCCGAGTGTTTGAGTAAGGTGGTTAGTATGATTGGAAGGCCGTTCTGTTCTCAGGTTACTAGAGTTACTGACCAGTTGGGGTTTGCGAAATGCTGTGTGGAAATTACTGTGGAATCGAAGTGTCCCAAGGAGCTAAGATTCGTCCCTGACGAAGGTGTCCCCTTCTCAGCTACTGTTGAATACTTCAATTTACCTTCTGTTTGTCAAAAGTGTCGCAGGTTTGGACATGATTGTAGCAAGGTGGACTCTGAAGTTCGTCGGGTGTGGGTGCCCAAAGTGAAGAAAACTCAACCTCCAGTTACTGAGAAGGAACTTGTGGTGCAATCGGAGAGTGAGGCTCAGGGTG